GATTAGCAATACATGAAGATTATTGCTCAACATAGGGTTACACAGTAAAGGACAATTATGTAATAAATTAATTAATGCCTTTATACATGTAAATTATGGTAGTTATTTGTGTGGTCCTCTGGAATACATTGTATAGTACACAAAAATAATGAAAAACAACCGGATATTTGTAAGAAAGCTGGATTTTTTTTAGGATTCTGGTGATATTTTCCATTACTCTAAACAGAAAAGGACTAACATAAGGGGGCATTTTTAGCTACATTTCAAAAAGTGAGTTAGCTTACCACCCTAAAATATGTTATTTTGGGTTTAAAAAGTCAACAGCAGTTATTACATTCATGTTTTGTAAATTAATCAAATTTATTTAGGGTATTAAAGCTGCTGTTAAGCTGTTCTTTAATTTTGGCCGCCATTTTAAAAAGCGCCCTCGATTGCCTCTCGACATCTTCACATTAATAACTTTAGCTAATCATACTTTACTCCTATCATTACATCATGGAGAAAATAAAATAGAAGGAGTAACAACGAGCTTATCGCTACTGTTTAATCCGATTAAACAACAGGAATTTCCCTATGGAAATGCATAGGGACGCCCGTGAAGCTTATCGCGATGCCGATCTACACAGACCTCCCCGCCGACAATTATCGTACCCCTATAGTTTGCTAGGCTCAGTTGAGAAAATAATTAACAACAAACAGAAATAAAGAAAAGAAATATACATGCGCAGTCTGTTTTGGCTTGTTTCTTCGAAGAGTGTTATTGCTAGATAGATAGACCTTTTTTCGCTGCAAATTTTGATACGTAAAACTCCGAAATCGGACTGAAATAAGTGTTGTTTTCATCAATCGTAAGTATTGGCTCATTTTATCATATCTATGAAAGTAGTTTTTTTAAATTATGATTTTCAGGACGTTCTCCATATTAGCGGTTTGTAAAACAAATTGGTATCGAAACTAGAAAGATGTAGCTTTCGTTTGGTACCAGCAACAACAGTGTCCGATTATGTCCGACTGACTTACGAAGTTTAAAAGTTAGGACTAAAAATTGTTACCGCCGTAAATTTACTTCCGGTTTTGTGAGGAATTCAAAACAATCCCGGACTAGGCCTAGACTTTAAATATGCTATTAAATCTCAATTTAAAGAAGTAGGCTACCGATTCTGGTGTTTTCATTTTAGGCCTAGGATAGGCCCTAGGCCTAAGGGGCCTATAATAGTTTTAGAGTAATCGATGGCTGTTATTGTTAAGAGTAGTAGTTATAGGCCTAGGCCTAGTTAGCTTCTCTATGCCTAGGCTTAGAGAAGCTAGCTAGACCTAGATATAACTAAACTAGCCTAGGCACTATGCATATCATGGTGGTTCCATATCATTATGCATACGCCAGAGCTCCTTTCAGTTTCATGAGCCAAGAAAGTTAAATAATTCAACTAGGCCTAGCCTAACTTAGGGCTAGCACAGTTAATAAAAAAAGTTTTTTTTTTTTTTTTTTTATGTTGACTTTTTTTATAGTTAAAATATGGAGCTGTCAAAGATATATTTACTTTTTATGTAAACACATTTTACTTAATACTTAATACTACTATTAATATTAATATTTAAATTTCACTCATAGAAGCAATGTTTAGCATTAACAGTATTATCATGGAGGAAATAATTTCCCTACATGGTACCATGGAGAAATTAATTGATGTAAAGTGAAAGGTCCTGATTAATGTTATATAAGGAAGTGTAATGCATACTTTTACTTTGTGTTGGGATTCAATATTCACTAATTTTGTTATCAGGAATAACATAGTGTCAGAATGTTGCATTATGCATTATACTTTTTAAATTTATTTTACTGGTTCAGTTGTTGACAATCTATGTTTTTATTATCTCAACAGTCAATTCATTTGTGGAACTGACAAAGAAGCTGTTGGAATTGCCTGATGTTGACTGTATATTGAGCGCAAAATTCAACCAAGATCCTCTTGAACAATATTTCAGCAAGCAACGAGGGGCTAGAGGACACAATACAAATCCCACCGCTTTGCAGTTCGGTCACAATATGCAGGCATTGTATGTGGCATCCCATTGTGCCAAAGCGTCTAAGAGAAGTAACTGCCGAAGTCTCACCGATAATGAGAAGACATTGGATGACACACCACTTCAAAGAAGGAAGTTGCACCAAACTTGAAGTCGGCAGAAGACAAAATTTTCAAACCAAACGGTTCTTATCAGAACCAAAAAAAAAAGAGATTTGAATTAAGGTTTTGCCATTAGTAGTGTCCATTATTTTGTATTTTCATCAACACATTATATACATAACTACACTGCAAACAAATAATGTGTTCACATATTTATTCAAAAACATGTTACAAACAAATATATATATATGTTTCAGTCAAATACTATATACAGTATGTTTCAGTTAATTGTAGCAAAGACTGAATTACTGCCAAACTAAAATTTATAATTAAATTACTACACTTTAAACAAATAATTTATTCACTTATATTCAAAAACATGTTACAAACAAAATTCAGTATATTATGTTTCAGTCAGTTAATTGCAGCAAAGACTGAATTACTGCCAAACTTAAAATTTAATAATTAATTTTTTACACTCAATAAATTATTCTGATATGGAAAATAATTACCATGTTAAAAAAATTCTTTGGTAAATTCATTAGTCATCTGCAGCAAGATATAAATGTATGCCCTCAAAATTTAAGTGTTTAACTCCTTTCTGAGAGACTTTTCACCTTTCTTTGATAGTTTACCACTTTCTGAAACATCACATCCAGATAATCGATTTCACTCATTGAGCTAAGCTGATTTACAGTCAAATGTTTCCTTGTCTCAAATTCGATTGGAATTGGATACCGCTTATTGCTGTAGACAGGGTCCTCTACCAATAACTTGAAAGCAGATGTGACATGGTCCTTTACCTTCATCAACATGTCGTCCTCCGTGAACTTTCCTGCTGGACGATCTATACCTAAAAGTAAAAACAATTTCCATTTAAATATTGTAATCACTATGTTTTATCCATGGTCTATCACAATAAAAACACAAAATAGTAAAAACAATTTCCATTTAAATATTGTAATCACTATGTCTTATCCATGGTCTATCACAATAAAAACACAAAACAGACGGGCAAGCTGAAAAAAACATGATGCAGCTATTGTCATGGAGGAATTTTATCTGTGTTATACAAAAAAGTTTTATACGTAAAGGTTTTAGATTTCTTATCCATTTGACTTCACAATTTTAACCGATACACCATGGAGGAAACTAAGCTATACTTTTTTAAAATAATATATCAAATGATTTCCATGAACATTTTATATGTGTAGATAATAAACGCATTATGTGTACAATTTACAAAAACAATACTTTACTTACTTATTTTTTTGGTCCGAGATTTGTTAGTCATTTTCTTTTTCCTTGAATCTGTGTCATTGGCAGTCACATCCTTTCACATCTATCTGCTACAACAACACCTAAAATAATGTAAAAAGTAATAGGATTTTGTAAACAATTAATACCATGGGTTATTCAGACTCTAAATTAGAGGATAGGGTTAATCAAAAAAATAATGTATTTATTTCTGTGTGTGAAATCGACATTTGCTGATATATTTATGGCATAACAACTAGCCCACAAAATCATGTGATCGTCGCCGTCGACAAAGCTAGGCCTAGAAACGGCTGTACGCCGTCGCAAATTGTTTTTAGGCCTACGATGTTTTAAAATTATTTACCTAGGCCTAGCCCAGAGCTTGGCTAAGCCTAATAATGTATTTGGGATAGCCTAGACCTAGGTTTGATTTGGGAAATATTAAAAATTAATTGATTAGTTGTGTATTGGTTGATATTTGTAAAAATTAATAATAGCTAGCCTACAAAGTATGTGAACATCACCATCGACAAAGCTAGGCCTGGGCCTGGCCTAAAAGTAAAAGCCTAGGCCTACACCGTCGCCGCGATCACTTTATGATCCAGCTTGACACACCACACACTTCCCGTCAACGTAAGAAAAAAAAAATAAGTACCATTTTCTTGGTCCTCTGCTGCTTCATCCACTACACTCAATTCTTCTAGAATTTTGTAATCCAAATCGTCTTCTAATTCATATAAATCCATGTTCTAGCATTTAAAAACAGTTAGGGAAATTATATATTATTGTTATCTAGACTTCGTGGTCGTTCGCGGGTCGCTGTTACAAGAAAGGAAAGAAGCCAAGGGTCAAATGCCTGACGTCACTCAACACGGTCTGCTTCTATTGCGCATGCGATATTCTCGGTATTTCACGACTTGCAGCTAATAGGTGTTACGTAATATACTGATAATTATTTCATTAACGAGATAACAGATGCTGTCGGCGGGGAGGTTTGATCTTTAGTTGCTGTTACTCCTTCTATTTTATTTTCTCCATGCCC